ATTTATATACTTATCTATTTATTGTATTTCCACTAATATTTTCTGACCGTGGTGTTGGAGTAAAATTGTGGATTTGCCTAAATTGAAACTTTCTGAGTCTGGTCAGGGCAGCTAAATTAACAAATAGTGTTTTTTTTTTTCATATATTTTGCCAAATGTGCATAATCTCAAGTAATTAAACAGCACTTTGTAATATACACAAGTAATGCACAAGTAATTTACAGCACTTTGGTTGGCCTTGTGCTGTTTAAAGTGCTTTATAAATAAAAATGGTATGGTAAACATTCAGCATGGTATATTTGCTACCACTTTTTGAAATTAGCTGTTCGTGCCATTTAATCTGCTCTACCCATGGAGAAACTTTCACCACATTAACCATATTCTTGGATCACTACACTTGTTTGAATTATTTTTAACTGAAAACAAATTCAATTTCAAAATCCTATTATTAGTAAATAAATCTATAAATGGCCTTGCACTGTAGTTCCTGAAGGTTTATAACCAAATTAGCTGGGCTTTTGTTTCATAGTAAAAAATGCTTGCACTGAAGCTGTTTTTTTTTTAATTTAAATTCTTTTTTCCGTTCAAAACTGGGGATGGGGAGTTCCAAGCTTTAGACTTGATGAGAATTATAATTTCACAGTCAAATTAATCTAACCTAGGGATGCTTTGATCACATGCATAGACGTATTAATTATAGGAAATCTGAGTTTTGAGCTTAATGCTAATGTATGTTTGAAGTTGGTTTAAACTTCTTTTCWCCCTTTTCAAATGGCTTCTTTTATTCCCTCCCAAACCATCTGTTTCCTCTGAGGACCAAAAGTGTTCATTMTCCTTGAGGGCAGCTGAGTTGTGTCCTGAAGAACTGGTTCTTCTGGTTTTAGACTGAGCCCCACCTCTGTCAGTGTGCCCCAGGGCAGCTGTGGCTACAATGTAGCTTACCATCATTAGTGTGTGAATATGAGTGTGAATGGGTGAATGTCTGTTAGTGTAAAGCGCTTTGGGGTCCGGAGGGACTTGATAAGGTGCTCTATAAGTTCAGTCATTTTACCATTTACCATGTAAAATATATAAACTTTTTGGGGAAAACAAGTTTATTTTATTGCTTGTGATTTTTTTTTTCCATCTGTGTGAATGTGTATAAAATAATTCTTGGTAAAAAACCCCACATTGTCTTGCTTTGGGCATGAACAATTAAAGAGAAGTTTCTCGTTTTTATGACTGCATACTTATGATGTTTGGACCATTTCTTGGACTAGTCATGATGTGCTGAGTATTAGTGTCTTTTAATAACTCAACCATTTTTCTTATTTATATAAATGACACTGTTCAGCCAAGTCAAGGGAGCTAGAAGTTAAATTAATATTTTACATCAGAAGAAGTGATCATTTTGTATTAAGAGGACTTTGTGTTTTGTTTTTTTGTTTTTAAATCAGTAGATTGAGATTTTATTGAGACAAAATTATAAAACTTTTATAAAACAATCTAAAATGTTAGTGAGTTGTTCTCTAAAGCTTTTGGCAGATTTTCAAAGCTCCACCCTTAAAAAGTAAAGTCATCTCTTTTTTTAACATGTACCTGCATGTCTTCCTTCAAACAGGAAGCGAGGCTGAGCTGTGCTGAAGAGTTACACAAGAAGCTCCTGAAATCTGAGACTTTCTTCGGCCGTTTTGCTAGAAAACAGCACTTTATCGATGAGTGTCTTGTTGTTACATCCTTTTTTATTCTTTTATATTTATTTTATTTATTAGTCTCATGGTCCAAGGATCAGGCAACAAAGTGCAGAGAGACTGAGATGGTGAATTGGAAACGCTGTCGGTGGCTCAGAGGTTCGGGTTTTTCTTTGTCACAACAATTATTTTTAACTTTTGTTTTGCCTCAAGCTAAAACAAAATGTTGAAACACCAGTTTTCAGTAGATTTGAAATTTGCTTGAAACGCCAAAGGCAGCTGTGATGTGGATCGTTCAGTTCTGCATTTATCGTGGTGTTTTCTGCTGCTCTGTTTTAAGGTGTTAAACGCTGTGTTACCAACATAGAGCTTTTAAAGTTGAAGTGGTAATTTGCACAAGACCTAAAACGTAAAAATTAGGGAAGTCCCGATCAGATACTCAGTATCTGTATCTGTAGCAGATGCAGCCATTTTTTTAAAAAATYGGATAGAATCRGATTTAGTCATGTGATCGGGCAGATCCAGTTTTCATGACAGTTTTCAGCATCATCATGCTTTACAACTGCTGTTAAGAAGTCAAGACGCACACAAGTAAGCAACCATGT